CACCACCCCCACCCGCCCGTACTGTTGAGCTCGACACGGATGTAGTTTCGGGATCCGGGGTTCTCCAGGAAGACACCAGACAGGGCGGTGGTCTTGAAGTAGAAGGAGATGTCGAGGCTGTGGTTGGCCTGGAAGGTGGGGAAGAGCAGGGCTGTGCCCCTGTTGAAGGAGACGGTGTTCCAGGTGTTGCCTGCAGGGAGCAGGAGGAGCAGTGAGGGATAGGCATGGACCCTCCATGGCTGCAGGACCCCACAGGTATGGGACTCCTGCAGGCAGGGGACCACAGCATGGCCCCACAGCATGGCCCCCCCCCCCCCGGCACTCACAGGGGGTGTTGAGCAGGCGGGAGCTGTAGCAGTGCAGCTCGATGCGCTGCTCGCAGTACTCAGAGGCATTTGCCAGCGCTGAGACCTCGGCCCAAGAGGCGTTCCAGTACTCCACGGCCCCCAGGTAGGGCTGGTCCACGCTGGAGCCCGTCACTCGTGTGGCGTAGTGGCGGTTGTGCCGGATGATGGTCCATGCTCGGTCCTCTGCGGAGGCAGGGGGCTGTTAGGAGGGGCCCCCGGGACACCCCAGCTCCAGCCCTGATACACAGGCAAGGGCTGGTCCCCGGGGGAACCGGGCGGAGGGACCCCCACACCCTCCCGCCACCCCCACCTCGGATATCGCAGTACACCGTGAAGGGCTTGAGCGGCCCGCTGCCGTCCGGGTCGATGGTGTAGTTCCCTGAGGTTTTCCCGCTGACCCGGTAAGCGTCACACGACTCCTTATAAAGAGCTGGAAGAGGAAAATGGGACTGGGGACAGTGCGAAGGGGGCACCGGGCAGCAGGAGGAGCTGCAGATGCCCGTCCTGCTCCCCCTCCCGGGTCCCAGGCTCACATTTGTGGCAGGTCTCCCCCTTGTACCCCGTCAGGTCGCAGATGCACATGAAGTCGTCCCAGGACTGGATGCAGCGGCCGTCATGCTCGCACAGGTTGGGGGTGCACCTGAGGGCACAATGGGCTCCTGTCCTGGCACCAGCACAGCCCCCCGACCCCCACCGGCTCCCAGACAGTGCCCCGTCCCAACAGATACCTGTCCGTGATGCCACACACATTGAAGTACACGTTGAAGTACTGCCCCAACCAGTGCTGCACAAACAGCTCCA